TCGCCGAGTCGAATCTCTTGAGTTGTTTATCGCTGTGTACCATCTTCTCGGCGATGTCATCCCAGTCGGCTTGAAGTGGGTCTTCCACGTAGACCCGTATAGTCTGAACCATTGTCTTGACTGACCTCTCTTGCTGACCGTTGGCTTGTGGTCGGTAACTCAGCGTAGCTCTTGATCTCGACTGCATCATCTCGGAGAACTTTTGGAAAACTTCACTCATAAACCTTGGATCTCGGTCGTGCCGTATCAGAGACGGAGCCCCGAACTGCCTGAAGACGCATTCCTCAAATACCTTGGCCACTTCGAGTGCTCCGGTGTCATGCATAGCCTTAGCGATAACGAACCCCGTGAAGTGGTCCTGGAACAGCAGCAGTGCAGTATTGCCCCGCTGAGTTCGAGGAAGGGGAATAACGAAATCCATTGACACGACTTGGAATGGATGGTCTGACACCACATTTCCCGGCGAATAACCTCTCAACTGTGGCTTGCTCTTACTGGTATTGCAGTCTTCGCAGGCTCTAACATGTTTCACCACGTCGGCGTACAGACCAATCCAGTAGTAGTCGGCTTTGACTCGGTGATAAGTTCTGACGATGCCTTGATGCCCTCCTTCGATCGAGTTGTGGCAGTTATGAAGTATTTCGTCGACCATGGTTGACGGTATCACCAATCTCAATGAGAGGTTCGGTTCGCCGAGTTCGCCTAGTCGGCGGGCTTCATCTCGGCGGTACAACAGGCCGTCTTCGCTGAGTACAAAGACTTCTGCGACTTTGCCGGCATTCTGAGCTCGCCGGTGTGTAAGGTTCTCCACTTCACCTCTCAGGTACGCCTTCAGATCGGCCCACCTGAGTTCTTCATCTTGTGCCTTCGCGATTCGTCGTCTCCGCTCAGTCTGTACCGTCACTGGATCAATGTCGTTGGCATTCTGAGCTGTCTGGACTGACTCCATCTGCGACCTTGTTTCGACATTCGGGGTCGTGTGGTTAGTCCGCCGAGTCGACGCCCCGCTGACTTGTTCGAATTCATCTCCACTACTTTCAAACGCGGATTCTCCAGGATTTGTAGACATGGCTTCATGATCC